CCGGAGCCCAGCAGGCCAAGGCTGCGGTGGCCGGGAGTGGCCACTGTACTCCAGTCTGGGTGACAGAGTGAGACTCCAACTTAAAAAAAAAAAAAAAGTTGAAGTTACACATCCAACATGGAGGACCCTTCCCTACCTCTGGTGGACTGAGGGATAGCCCAAATGAGGTATCTCAGGCCTCGGCTATTAGACACTGTGGCCAGGGAAACAGGACAAGTTCCTTACCTCCACATTTAGCTCAGCACTAAGGTTGTGATGCGGTCTCTCTCCCCGTCTCTTTCTCCTCTTCCAGCTGCAGGTGTGAGACCAGATCTGGTGCCATTCACCCTCAACTTCACGATCACCAACCTGTTCTATACCCCAGACATGGGGCACCCAGGCTCCTTAACCTTCAACTCCACGGAGAAGACCCTGAACTACCTGGTAAGAGTCCAATAATACCTCCCCTGGCCTGTCTTTTCCTTGCCCCACCCAGTCCCTTTGACCTACCCTGATCATCTCCCTTCCTTCCTTCTAGCTCGAGGCATTGTTTAAAAACACCAGTATTGGCCCCAGGTACTCTGGCTGCAGACTGACCTTGCTCAGGTGAGAGTTCCTTCCCTAACTTCGTGAAGGGCTGCAGGGTCACAGGCAATGTCACCTGGAGGCGAGGGCATGAGCCTGATACCTAAAAGGCAAAGATTACAAATGACTGGGGTCTTCCAGGAATGGAGACTCAGAGGACGCCCCCTCTGGCTGAGTGTATCAGAAAGGGCTTCCTGAAAGAGGTGGCAGTCAAAGACTCTAAATTATTTGGAGAAGAAGAGGCATGGAGCATTCAGGTTCACTAGTTAGAAAGGGCAACATTGACTCAGTAAGCAATCTTGGAATGAGATACCCCAGGCCGTGCCCTGTGACAGGGGCGAAGGCACCAAGAGGGTCAATCATGGGCCCTTCCCTTCTGGTGCCCACAATGTAGAGGAGACAGCAACCACATGGACTTAAAACCGTAATAGGAATGGGGTTAGTATGTAAGAAAGCTCTACACAGAGGCACCAAGGGAAAGGAATTTTACCTTAGCCTGGGAGAGGTGGGCAGAAGCTGTCTGAAGAAGGTAATCCCTGAGCTAAGTTTTGACAGTACATTGACTAAAAGAAACCCTGATGAGGATATTATTTCAAAGGGCAGCACATCTTAGGGAATGGGACAGATGGGAGAAGTGGCCTGGCACATGAGAAACGTTCCCTGAAATTGGAGGATAGAGTGTAGGGCACAGAGAAATTGAATGAATGAATACATGTAAAAGAAAAAAGTGAAGGAAAGAAAGAAGAAGGAAGAAGGAGAGACGCAGGGAGGGAAGGAAGAAGAGAAGGAAAGAAGGAAGGAAGGAGGAAAAGTGGGAGGGAGGGAGAAAGGGAAGGAAGGGAGGAAGAGGAAGAAGGAAGGAGGAAGGAGAGAGGGAGAGAAAGAAAGGGAGAGAGGGAGGGGGGAGGGAAGAAGGAAGGAAAGAAAGAGAGAGAGAGAGAGAGAGAGAGAGAGAAAGAAAGAAAGAAAGAAAGAAAGAAAGAAAGAAAGAAAGAAAGAAAGAAAGAAAGAAAGAAAAAAAAGACGGACAGAGAGAAGGAGGGGAAAAAGAGAAGGAAGGAGACAGCAAGGGAGAGAGGAAAGGAGATATTGTATATGCTATATTTTTACAATAAAGTAACCTTGAGAAGAAGAGCATGTTATTAAGAAAATCATAAGGAAGAGAAAATATGGGAAGGGGAGGACATGGATAGATGAGAAAAAAGTGGAAGGAGGAGGAGAAAGAGGCTGACTGGAGGGAGGACTGGCTTAGTGGATGGATGGGTGCGTGGGAGTATAGTCACATGAGCAGTGGATGAGTTGCTGGATGACTGGATATTGTCAAGACTTCAAGCTGGAGTTGGTGCTGAAGGTCATATCAAACAGTCTGCACAGTATTTTCTATACCAAGAGTTAAGCATCGATAGTCATTGTCCAAATGCGGGAAGTCACATCCTATTTCTGTCCCTAGCCTGATGATGTTTGGGAAGTTCATTAACATCTATATGACTGTGTTTTCTCAGCCATAAGATGAGAATGACTATCGTTTAAAATATCATATTAGCCGGGCTCAGTGGCTCAGCCTGTAATCCCCCGCCTTGGGAGGCTGAGGTGAGTGGA